GGTTCATTGACCTCGCCTTTCGCCCTTTCGAATGGTTTGCCCATTGGTCTGGCATTCCAAGATGCGATGATTGGCCGTGTCAGCGACGAAGATCGTCTCTTTCGCCGTGATGTGAAGACTCCGAGGAAGGCGTTTCTCGCTGGCGTCGATTGAGCGGTTGCGATCAGTGGAAGGGGGGACCAGCGGTGGCGTCCGTCATCGAAGCGAAAGCAGCGCAGCACTGGTCGTCGTCGTCAGCCGACGTGGGTCGACTGGGTAGGCGGGAAGGTGTCGAACCATCGACGATGAAGATCGTCACGTACGATTTGTTTCGTTCGGTGAGCAACTCGAAGGCGTGTGGAATATTGGCGGAGAAATCCGGAACGTCGTATTTGCCCTTGATCGGTTTGTCATCGGTGGGAATGAAGTCATTCGTTCCGTGGAGATGATACGCACAACCGGAGAAGTAGAAGAGAACGACATCGCCCTCGTTGATCTTCTCGACGAATGTTCTCAGAAGGACGTGCATTTCTTTGTCTTGTCGAACATTGACGTGCGCGTCGACCAGCTCGAAATCGATCGATCGCAACAGGACGGTCAAGCCGTGGACGTTCTTCGCCGAATGGGTCAATCGGTTGTTCTCCCTTCGGTACTTGTCATTGCCGATGAGCAAGGCGAGCTTTTCGGCTAAGAAACCTTTGATTTTTCTGGACATTTGAGTTTGATGTTGTTTGTCTTGCGAGAGGAAGTGGAGAGAGACCAAGATTAACTTTAGTATTTCGTCTGGCAGGTTGACTTCGCTCATGGTCGATCGTCAGAAATGAGCGTTGATCATCGTGAACAGCAAGTCTCACAGTTCGGTCAATCGTTTGGACCCGTCTGATCAGATTAGCGCGGACTTGTCCGATGCATTGAAACGGATCGGTTTCGACGTGCGCGTGGCGACGGACGTGGAGAAACGAGAGATGACGAGGCGCATCATTGAGTTCGCGGAGATGATCGAAGACGGCGATTTGGCCTTGGTGGACTTCGCTAGACATGCGTATGAAGTGAAAGGAACGATCTCCTGGATTCCCGTGGCCGATGAATGGATCAGAACGGATCACGATGGAGTACTTCTTCAATTGGCATTTGCGGCCAAGGCAACGACTGGAGAGAATCGCTTTGCCAAACATCTGTTGGAGAACATCGCCAGAGAGCATGTCACAGTGACGAAGCTATTCGAAGAAATCCTCGATCAGGTCACGAGGGAAAGTGAGCGGAAACAGAAAGCGTTGTCCATCAATGGATTGAAGCACGACGAGGAGATTGACTTGAACTACGTTCCGGTTGTCGGTCAGTTCCACGTTCACTGGTGAGCACATGAGACCTTTGCCGTCAATGAATTCTAGTCTGGAAGAAAGTGAAAGCCGATGAGAGACAATCGTTCATCAAAGATCAGTCGAACAACTGAACGCGCATGACGCAAGTTTTCCTTCCTTCGAGCAAGTGTTCGATGCCGACAGCGACGACATTCCCAAAGCTGAACAATTCCCCCGCAATCTTCTCGGCCACATTCCTTCTGGCGACGTCAATGACAAATACACGGTGTTTCACGCCATCAACCAGATCTTCGCCGACGTAGACAAACAATGTCTCTTCTTCGATTCTCCGCAAGACAGTTCGTCTGTTCAGCACATTCGGCAATCTCGCCGATCGAAGCCTCAAGAACAAACCGTTCGTGTTGCAACTGGCAAATCTGCACGACTTGGTCACTGGAGACACGCCAGACGAGGAGACGATGATCAACACGATCAATGACGTCATTCGACAGAACGAATCGCCTGAGCGCTGAACACGAGCAAAGACAACGTCGGGCCTGAATGCGTCTACCGCGGCTCGATGAATATTGCTTTCAAAGTCAGCAGTCCCACACTCGATCCGATCGGAGAGCCAACGTCAACGACAGCCCGACTCTTCCACGACAAAGACAACAACATTGGCAAGAATCTCCAGACGCACTTTCCCCAATTGATCACTCTGGAAATCCATCCCCTGTCCCGACGAGCGACATTCGATGTCGCCGATTTCAATCAGCGAGGGAACAAGGACTTCACCAGCGGAGCGTCAACGATCCTTGTCGGTCCCCCGGCTGCAAACAGAACCGCTCGACGACGACGAGATTTGGCACCGAGCTTTTCAAGGAACGAAAAATGCAACGAAGACAGACTCAGGTGATTCCGATGCTCCACTGCGCGCGGTTGTCAACATTCACCGAACGGGTTTTCGACCAGCCGGCGTTGCGGTGTACGGACCGGACGTGTACTGTTCTCCGAGCCCGACGTTGATCGACAGAAAATATGCTGCGGAGCCCACGATCCAAACGAAACAAGACCGAAAGACCTCCAAAGTCAGGTGCCAAGCGCCGGTCAATCCTGATGAAGTGAGGTTCGCTGAACACGAAGACATCTGAGTCGTCGAACAACCTCTCAACAATCGAACGTACGGCATTCTGATCAAGGACATCACCTCCCCAGCATCGAGTAGTTTAGACGAGGGCACAGCTTTTCCTTGAATAGACAAGATCAGTCCGATGAGTGACATCGACAGAAGAACGGAAGGCGAACATCGTCGGAGGAAATCGTGCACGTTGATCACCACAGTGGACAATCGGATGCAACTCTTCAGATACAGTTGATCCGAACGGATGACGTTGAGATACACGCGAGCGAATCCACCCAATCGATGATGAAACTCATGCGATGCGTGAAAACTCAAATGACGAGACAATCGGCGCGGATTCGTTGGCATTCGAGAGGGTGAACAAATCACTGGAGATGGACGATGAACGGATTGTTGACGAGAAGAGATTCACTGAGGGTCGGCGGAGAGGAGAAACCAACGCTTCAACCGGGGAGAACCAACTGCTCGTCTGTCCTTCGATCGTCGTGAACGTGTCAAAATCCGCTGGATGGAGAAGGAGTGACAGATGAACGATCTGGACATCCTTACTGAGCGTCTTTGGTCCGGCGTGGAGAATGATCATCACTCAACGACCGAACTCGATCTCTGACACGCAAACGACTGATCTGTCGTTCACCTCCGTCGTCGTTTCCGTGCCGACGAGAGCAGTGGATGAAGAGAGAAGGAAAGCGTCTTTCCACCGGTCGTCGTGCTCGTTGTCGCTACACGAAATCAATTGGCATGTCGAGGTGTGAGAAACAAGTTCGCTCGAATCCATCGCTTAGTCAAAAATGTTTCGCATCGACAATTAGCATCAAGGAAAGAAATTTTGTTCTCATCGATTTGCCAATTCTCCTTGCTTTGCACGTATTGAGGAATGTCGTCGGATCCAATTCGACTCGATCAATTGTCAAATCAATGAAAATCTCTCCAACGTTGTTTTGATTTGATCAGTCGAGGCAAGAATCACTCGATGAGATTGACGAGTAACGAATCTTCGATTCATTTTTATTTCCAGAGCATCCATCATTGATCATCAGTGGTTTCACTCGGAACAATTCGAAGTTAGTTTGAACGGCATTATTCTCCACGGGTAGAGAGCATTTTTGGTCTCTCAATGTCCATCTGATGGATCGGATTCCTTCCGTTCGTGAAGAACATATTTCATTCGCTTGTGGCCTAGTTCTCGACCATGACGGACGGAGTTGGAGCGAACCCGTCAGAACATTCCATCGGTCAGTGTCTGGAGATCTTCCTCTATCAAAGCTCTTTGCAAGCGAAGAGGTCGAAGCTCCCATTTCATCTTTCAGTTCCTGCAACAGAGATGATGCTGATCAATTGCGTTAATTCGTGTCTTTCTCTCTATTGAGAGATCCAATGCATGTCCAATGACCCGAATGGAACTCCCGACGTCTTGCGCATCGAAACGGTCAAACTTAAGTTTTCTTTGCTCATGGAATTGGACAGTGTTCAAACATTTCTTTTCCCGCCATTCGAATGATCAAATCTGAAGGAATAAGCCAAGGCAGAATTCCATTTCGCAGTATTTGAACAAGACGATTTGCCGAATGGAAGACTTCGCCAATGTATTTCGTCATGTCGCCGACGCGTTTTGTTCCTTGAAAATATTCGTCCAATGCTATTTCCATTGGAAATGAATGTTTTTCAAGTCAGAGAGCAAGAACGAGCGCATCGTCGATGGGCATGTTCGTTGACAGTGCTCAAAAGAAGAAAAAAACACCATTCGAGGCATTGGCGTATCCAGGGGGGAGGCCATTGGGCAATTGCCCAGTGTTTGAAAATTTATTGCCCAGTAATTTTTGGGATGATACAAATGGCCCAGTGCTGAGAAATATGTTTAACTAGTACAGACAGAAACTTAGTAGCAAGATGCTGTCGGACACTTTCATATCTAAGATTTTTCTCGAGAAATGTTCCGATCAAAAAAGAATTGAGTATCCAAGTGTTTACAGAACATTCACAGACAGTACTTTTTGAAATTTTCGCTTCGCGAATAAAGTTTCTTGAGTAACTGTAACTTACTTAGTCTTATCATGTCGACTTCCTCAATGGTTTATGTTTTCATTTTCAGAAGCAACATTGAGCAACAGAAAGGCCTACATTCTATGCGAATTGATGCTCAACTTTCAGACCGAATGGTGGGAGCGCGGCCGCCTTCGGCGGCATATTGTTCTACGATAAATACCGAATTCAGTAACCTGACACGCCACATTTTGTTGCAACTAAGTGTAGATTTTAAGCGAGGGAAAGAAGTTTTCTCTTGAGTGGTATCTTTTGGAAAAGCTAGCTAGCGGAAGAGCCGTAGGGAAACTGTCGTTGTCTGTCGTAGGAGTTTTTTTTTACCTTTCCCATCTTCTTAGATTTGAAGGCTATGTGCCTCGTTGAAACATGTTCAGAAGTTATGGCCCCCTCGGTTTTTGATTAGCCTCTATTGCCCAGTAACGAGGAAAGTTCTGCTAGGAATCTGCCCAGTGCTTAAAAAATCCTGGATACGCCACTGGTTCCAGGTATGAAAAATGAAATCTACCTCCTCATTGGTGAAGCAGATGTGTGCTTCCAAGTCGATTAGGAATGACTTTTCTCTTGAGACAATGAAGAAAAGTGTGTGCAAGAGGCGTTTTGAGCGGTTGTCATTTCTCTCCTTAGTAGAATGAAAGCTTTCGCATCAGTTGATCCAGATGAATTTGCTCGCTTCGAGTGTCGGGATGATCCGGTCCGAGGAGCGAAGAGGCTGTTTCAGTAGCTTGCGTAGACAAATCAATGGCTTCCTCAATTTGTTCGAGATCTTCCAATGCCGTCGCCTTATGATCATGCGCCTTCGCTACTCAAAGAAGATTCACTAGAAAACAAACATCAACATTGATCTTCTCTCGATTTGATCTTCTTCTGACAATCGTTGATTTGAATGTCTTGTCCATCGACGAAGATCGTTAAAGACAGGACGAGAATTCTCTCCGATGCTCCTTTTTATCACAAGAAGATTGTGTACACTTTGTTTCTCCGTGTCATTGCTACTCTGATGACCAACTTGATGAATGGAGAGTTCAACACATTTGAGAAGAGCAGATTTCGAAGTATCTCCATTGCATTCACATTGACGAACCCGCTGAAGTCTTGTTGTAGATATCATCTTCAAAGAGGTTCGACTCGTCGTTCGAGAGATTCTTTTGACGAGATCCTTCTTTGAAGACTTGATTGTCAAATCACATCTGAACGACAGTCATGGTCTCTTCTGAGTTAATGTTCCTATTTTATCCGAACAGATCGTCGTTGTCCATTCGGAGTGTTTCGACAGCGTCGAGATTCTTCACCAAACAATTTCTCTTGCCCATTCGTTTTTCTGTTAACATGAAACAATCCTTTGAAGAGGACAGAACAGATCGAGATGATCACTGCGACGAGCTAGCTTCTCTCACCATGGCCGTGGCTAGGAGTCCGTCGGGAACATTGGCCACAATGATGCCGATGAGAAAGATCCCGGCATTGATCAATGGATAGCCGAGAAACATGCGGCCACACCTGGGATGATTTGAATAGAATGGGCGATTTCTTTGGCGATCGGTGTTTCTTCGGCGGATGATGATTCCGGGGCGGGATTGGCGATGCAACTCATCACTGATCGATCTCCTGTTCGAATAACGGTACCTTGGGGCGTGCCAGACATACTTTCTCATTCGAAGTGACACAATGGAGATCGATGATCCCGACCTTCGACAGCGAATGTACGGAGAAAAGCGAGATGTTTGCTTTTTCCAGGATTGAAGTTCGGATTGGCCTATTTTGAATCCATGGGCTGAAAGAATTCGAATATTCGCTACAGGGATGCCGTGCGAGAGGTACGACTGATTCGGCTGAAGAAACCGACCTGGAACTCGATCACCCACAACCAGATCTTCCCATCGAACACTTCCTCTCTCGATGGCAGATGGCAGGCGCTTGCTTGTTAAAGAGAATCCTTCCTTCTACTTATCGATTGAACCCTGAAAGCACAATCCACATGCATCTCTTTCGTCTTCTCTCGTATCAAAGACACTGACATATTCTTGAACTTTTCGCTTCTTGATAATAGGAGAAATACACCAATTGAACGTTTTTTTCACTTTTTGCTCGAACACGAGAAAAGTTCCATATCGCGTTCAGATCACCTGTCCCCTCTAGCTGCGCTCAGGGTCGATCCATCCATTCCTAAGACACTGGAAATCACTCAAGATGGAGTTTGAATCGACATTCGAAAGGAGATTTCTTCGGTTGAGATGCCTCTGACCTTTTCTCCCCAATCATATTTCATCGTTTCTCTTGCAGAAGAATGACTCGTCGGCTCTGTTCAGTGATCATTGATCAATTCAACAATGCTCGGCAAGTTCATCTCGGTCACGCATCACTCTCGATCCAAATCTCAATACGAACAACGTGCAACTCTTTCTCATCTAGTGACTTCCCTTCTTTGGAATCATTCGTCTCATGGCAAGTATTTCTGGTTGGCCTCGTCACGTTATTGTCGAGTTCACTGCAAGTAAGTCACTTCTCATTCCAATAGTGGACTTCATTTGGAGAGAAAATTCATTTCTCTATTTGTTTAGAGTGCGCAGCACTTGAACAGAGATGGCCTAGGGAATTGCTCGAAGAAGTTCGCCACTGTAAGTGATTGTGGAATTGATTTCGTCATGATTAATGTTCGATGAAATAATTTAAGTGCATTCGACGAACCGGTCTCCAACAGACACCCAGTTGGAACACCTGACTATACAGTTCCACGTCTATCATTATCTCAGTGAACTGTCCTTCTTATTAGCTTTGGATGTCAGTGCAATTTGTCAATGCCTCTTCTGATGAACATTTCCTCGAGCTTTAGAGTTGGTTCTTTTACCAACGTATTCTGGAAGAACAAAGATTAGTTGAACGACGTCGAAATCCTTTTTTGGCCGGCTGACGAAGGTCTCCACTTCTTATTTCTGGTTGAATCTGTCAATAGCAAATAAACGATCAACAGAGTTGAGGACATCACTTAGATTAGAGATGAGCTTTTCCCGCAGACACGAAGAATTCATCGATATTCTCTCTAGACTCGTCTCGTTAGATTGATTCTTTGCATTGATCATAAGACGTGAAGACGACGTGTTTAATCCCATCCTTCTCTTCGAGGTTAGCGATATGGAGACACCCGTCTCTCTTTCTTTGAAGATGTTTGTCGAAATGATCGAAGACGATGTCGATGTATTCTGCTCGACCCAATCACTGGAAAACCCTCGAAAAAGGTCCGTGAGGATGAAAATGAGAGAAGCAAAATCTATGTCCGCACGCTCCCAAGTGATGCAAAGCACTCTTCAACTGTTGGCCAGTTGAGTGAGTATTAGAAATGGTCAAAGTGAAATCCATCTGTCTGACTCAATCGATCAATCAGCTTAAGTTCCTCGTTTGAAACATGGACTCGCAAGATCTGATCGAATGCTCAACTGATTAATGTGTCGAAGTTTTCATCGAACTACCTGACGAAAGACAAAGATCAACTACGAAAACAATGAAAAGCAGAGCAAATTGATCATCAACTAATCTGGCAATCTGAGAATTTGTTGTCGTTCGAATAAGGAATGAATGAATGTGAAATGAAAGATTCGGACGGATCGAAAGAAAAGAGGAAACCCGTCCGATGTCCGAATTGTTCAATGGATTCTCACGAGAACTGTTTTCTATTGCAGCGACGTCTGAACATTCTCTCTCCTGCAAACAGATGTTTGTCATGTCTTTCTTCTCTTCAAGCTAAATGAAAAATACCCAGTCAAGCGATGAAGTATTCATCTCCAAGGCAACTCCTTTTCAGTTACTCGAGCAGAACGAGAGAAGGGCCAGGAGGCGATGCAGCAATGCTGAACCTGTTCGAACCGATTTGAAGAATAACATCAGAAGGAAATCCAACAACCCTGAAGAATATCAAGTACTAACGAACATGACTTCCTCTCCAGTGCCTGTTAAACCGGCACCGACAAAAGGACGGTTGATTTGTGGCAGATTGATTTCATAGCGAAGGAAATAGTTGAAGACACTGAACAACGAGATCAATGCGTGAAGCGTCGAGACGATGTCAATTGAAATCAACGGAGAATAACGTGACGGAAGACATCGGTAGAAAATCTCATTGACAACAATCGAACTGAGAATGAGAGACAATGTATCTCCAGTATCTAAACGGATCGTTGGTCTTCCTCGAGTTCCTTGTCGAACTTCCATCGAAAGCGAAAGTTGTGTGACATCACTCTCCGTTTCAAAGCAAGTCTTGTCTTTCACTCGATATTCACGAGAAGAGAGAGAGAAGAAAGAACATCGCACTGAATATCAACGCAGGTTCGTCGCGCATGGTAATCTCGAAGAAATCAGTTCGTGGAGGAAGAAGAGTGACACGGAAGTACTCGCCGTCACCAATGAACAACTGAACAGTATCCCTCATCAAACTACTGTTCACTCTGAAACTTGCAACGATTGAATGGATGAATCTGATCTGAAGGAAACGTGGCGAATAAAGGCACACATACAGCGAGAGGACGATTGCATGAATCATGGTGGATTTTCACTAGTGCAATGGCACTGACGGTGAGCAGCAGAGAGACGAAGAGTTCTCCTCTGATGAAATCTTTTCTTCTCTTTTCTCGAATAAAACAAGATGATCATTTCGATGTCGAATATGTGTTGGAATGCTTGATCCTGTGAGAAACGTCACTGCATCTGAAAATAAAACTGATCGTGGTCTGTACTCGTGAACGAGAACCTTCAACGTCTTCAGTCTGAAACAGTTCGGAATGAAAAGGAACAAAAAGCAACAGATCGATCATGTGAAAGTCTTGCTGATGAAGCAGTTGAACTGCTTGGTTTCAAATTCTCGTTCATATATGCTAGAAGGGAGAACGAAGATGATGAAGAATGACGATAACGCCCAATACACCAGATTCGTCCTTCTTCTGGATCTTCGATTAAGGTTCGATTCGATGTGAAGGGGTTCTTGAATTGATGTGGCGACGATGACGATCAACAGGGATCCGCTGATGTCTTTCGAGCATGTTTGACTTGTCTTCGTCTCAGAGCGCGTTCCTTGAACAACACTGATCAGACGTTCAATGGGCGAACACGCACACATACAACCAACCACTGAGTTGCAAACAGATCTTCAGAATCAGAATGAAATCGAGAATTCAACGTTGACTGAAGACGCAGAGACGATTGTTTTGGATTGAAAGTTGAGTGACAATTAGAAGAACAGATTTCAGCAGCGACATCAACATGACCAAAAGACAATTGATTGAAGGCAAGAAGAGAGAATTGACACAACCGATCTGACAAAGACTTGTTTCTAGAAAAATGAGCAACGAGAAAAGTCCACTGATCGAATCAAAGATGAAGATCAGCAGAGTAATCCATCCCGTGTTGATGACAGACGTTGGTTGACGAAAGGATGACATCCAACGGTAAATCAACAACCCTTTCGTCGACAATTGACATCGTCTTCCTAAGAAACATTCGGGACAGGTACAGAGAGCAGAACTGTTGACAATCCCATTGAATTCGATGATCGAATGAGAAACAATTCGCTCGACGATCAACAGTGCACAAACAAACCTCTTGATCATCATCGTGAAAACAACGAAGATCTCGTTGATTTTCACAGGGGACGTGATAGTTCTTCACTCGACCAAGACGAGGATCACGAACAATTTGCTCGTCAAGTAGTTCGACAATCGAAGGACAACGGTGTTGAACTTCGGCTTTGATCGAAAGACAAGTCGATTTCGTCGAATTCAGCTGAGAAGAGATTGAATAGATCGTAACGAGATTGCGATCAAATTTTACTGCACACAAACAAGTCGTTTTTTCATCTCCAGAAATTCGCGGCTCACCTGGACGTCATTGAACAGCGTTGAGACACTGTTTCGCTGTGTTTTCTTCACAGAATCGATTAGACAGATAACAACGTCGTCTGTGTTTCTCCGTTGGACAGACACAGATCGATCGATTGTTCGAAGCTCCAACGCAAATGGAGTGCGACGACCAATCGTATTGATACAATTGGGGGCAAATACATCTATCGCCACCCCTCTCTTATAATGACCTTATTCGACTAGTTAGTGATGGAAAATACCTAAGCACTCTTACCCACCACACCCCTACACTATCATACACTCACACCCTCACTCCTCTTAATTAGTCGAATTAGGTCATTCTATAGAGGGGGGAATCAATAGAGGTCGCGCGTCCTTCGATCACATTAAGTAGCCGATTCTCGCTCAATGATAGATCGAGGACTTCGATCTTCATCATGTGTACAAAGAAATGCGATAAGAATCCTTCATTTTGATTGAAAATTGAAAAAATTGATCAGGGCATTTGTGTACTCTCAATTTGATAAAATCGTTAGCTTGTGATCAAACAGGTCTAATTTGGCCCGCCATGTGAAGATCTCGAGATCATACACTCGTCATTGGAGTTCGTGTGTTCTTCGATTTAGTACTGCCGAATTTTGTCGATATTGTTCACCCAGGATCTCCCGATCGCGTTCAGTACGTCGCAGCTCCCCCCTTCCGAATTGAATCTAGCAGATAGAAAAGTTCATGTACGGCAGAAATTCTCTCCCGTTGTTCTTACCAGTTTGTTGAGCTCCGCGATTGTAGTCATGACAGATTTTAACAGAGGATAACGATTAAAGATGTTGGTCAAAGATGAAACTGACGACGAAAGAGAGATCGTGGTCAAAGAAGAGACTGACGACGAATGAATTGGGACGGCGAGCTTCGAACCGCTATTCGATCTATGGCACGATCCCCCATTCACTTTCTTCGAAGTGATTCGACCGTCGTTCGTCTCGACGCTGGATGGGAATTTCGTGTCTGTTCACGGCGATGAAAATGAGCGAAGACCAGGAGCATCAGAGAGACGCGCCGTCGGGAAGAATCTCTTCTCTTAGGTACCGAAGGCATCATCACGTCAGCAGTGCGACAAGAATCGTTCGAAGATATCGAAAGAATTGAAACTCATTGTGCAGAGATTTCTCGGACAATCCTTCGTTATGCGAGTGAGAAGAGAATCCGTGCTCTCCGACGCCTCGCAGCAGCAGTGTCAGGAACTTAGTCATAGGGATGTTTGTCGTTCTCTCCTACCTTTCGAGACTCGAGGAAAGTTGGATCGAGAATCGGTGGCGTTGGAGAAAATGTTGTGTTCGTAGAGCATTGTTAACAATCGGCTGGAAATTCTTCTCTGAAGCTGCACGTCGTGCTGTTGACTCATTGTTCTTCGACGATTCTCTCGAGAGACGCCGAATCGAATTCTTCTTTCTCGTCGCCGACCGTTCGAAAGAGTTCTTCCAATCCTTCGCTGCTGCGCTCACTGAAGACCGATGTCACGCCCATTTCATCGGAGAGAAGCCGAGCGAGACGCGTGCGGACTTTGACTTTCGATGCCAATCGACGGTATCTCAATCGAACAGAAAATAAACAGCAACGACGAGGAAGGAGAGAGAACAATCGTGACTGACATAAAAGGTATTACTTAACGGCCAGTCGACAGCGCGACCCTAGAAGTCAACAGAACCCATTTTAATTTGGGATATTGAGATAAAGCTTCCTAGGCTATAGCAAAAGAATTAATGAGAGATGGCTGAAAACACTAGAACACTTATTCTGACTTTACCATCTAAACATAAGCTAATAGTGAGCCATTCTAAGTCTGATAACTTCATTCACAAATAAGTCTCATTTTTCCTCTCGCTAATTAGAATATTATATCTCGACCCTTATGATCTACCGGCCAGAAAACAAGAATGCTGGTGAGGTTCAACATATAGTTCCTCCGTTACAGTATGAAAATGTGCTTCCTTCTCAAATTTAATGTCCATCTTGCCACGAACATCAAACTCCAGCCTCTATGACATGTAGGTAGGAATAATGTTCTTTTCCTTGAATACCCTACTTTTCATTGTATAATAAATGTTTTTCCTAACCGAAATGGGCACGACAACACATGCGAAAGTTTCAGTGTGTTTGAGGCTGTAGTCAGGATACAGACGCGGACTTCATTTGATAACAGACAGTTGCCAATCTCGTATCACCTCTTCACCGTGCGCTTTGCATATAGACAACAAGCAACGATCTTTTATCTTTTCTGCTATCATTTCAAAGATTCAACTCGTGCAACTGAGTGAAGGAATAGTGGAACTGAAAAGCCTTTCTTAATTGTTCCATATACGCAAAATCAAATTGCTTCCACAAGTAAGGTCCAAAAATACTCACAAGGAACCTATCAACTTTTTCTCTTCTTCTAGTATCATCGCATGACCACATCGAACCAAAACCAAATAATAAATTCTAAACTACAGATCAAGGTGACACTCGCGTCATAATACCAACTGAAACAATACGGCATCAAGAGAAACACAAATTAATCAACAAGGTGCAAACCTACATCAGTCTACATGGTATCGACAAAGCAATGCATGATGCTGGCATTACCATAAACCACAAGAAGACAAAAAAATAAACTACAGATTATTGTTTTCTACATTGTCATATGTGATATTCATTTAATAAAAACACAAAACAGACCAAAGCAGTACGGACAAAACCATTCTGCATCATTCAGCTGGTCTAAAACTTCGAGAAAATAAACCTACGCCTCATCTGTCGCAGTTGCTCAACATCGACCAAATCATGTGTCACGTAAAATTCTCTGAATGTCAACATATTTCTACACTATACTGAGTATATCTATGCTAACGTAGAATTTATAGAATTCTCTACATTTCGTAGATCTCTTTTATTTGAACAAATCGGACGTTTGAAGTTTTATTTGTTTAATAATTGTCGTAGAATTCATAGGGAAAGTATAGAACTCTATAGAATGTCTGAATTGTAGGAATTCTGCCATTACTGAATTTTATGGGGAAAATATGGTTTAGAAAATAGGTCTACTTTCCGGAAAAAAGGATTTTTTTAAAACTTTCCCTGAGAGCGTATTTAACATTTTGGAACTTTGTGTCCGTTAGTAACTTTGTAGCTATACACATATAGAATCTAATCTGACGATACCAATTCATGAAAGTGTTTCACTAAAAAATGGTGAAAATGCCTACAAAAGGACTATTCTGCTGGGAAATGGGATTTCCACAGGTGACCACCATGCCATTGTTTTAAAATTTTTTAAATGTGATATTCGTCATCCAGAGCCCAAGTTGTACTAGTCCTATTACTGTCGAACAATCCGGATAAAGTCGATGTAAAGTCTGCTGCGCTCTCGAAAGAATCACCCCAGTGTCAAACTTTTAGACCGAGAAAGGTTGTGTAGAAAGATAAAAGGAATTGCACAAGATTCTTCTAGAAGTTCTAGTCATGCATTACGATTGTAGAAAGAAATCAGAAATCAGTGCGTTTTATCTTACAGAGAGTCAAGCTGGATATAGTTGAAAGCGGGTTCCACTAAAACGACCGTTATTGCCCCGTTACTTTACTGCTTTCGATCATTAACGATTCATCGCTAGTACGGAAAATTTAAAAATCCGTAAGTTAACAAAGGAGAATGCACAGATGCAGACGATAGCTGGAGTATATGACTAACAATTCGATTATACTTTTTCTATACAGATGTAAATGATAGTTAAACATATGACTGGGTTGGTTTCTCAAAATCTTACACAAAGAAAAAGAAAAGGAAAAAAGAGAATAAGAATTCTGAATAATATTTTCAAAATCGTTCTAGCTGTTTCTTTCATTCTTTCCTTTCTTTCTTGTTTTGACTAAAACAAAAAGTTATTCTTCTAGTGTTACTAGTACCAGTATCATATGTTTTCGATAAGGGGTGCGTAATTTAAACTTCAAGTGAAATTTTTTTCGAAGTTATAAAAAAGAAATCGTTCACTAGAAAAACGGTTCACTGGCAAGTAGTATCAAATTGAAAAAATATGTACATCAAGTACAAAATTAAAACAAGTTTAAAGCATGAATTTCTAAAGATGATAACAAAAACACAATTCTATGTGTATTAAAGGATTAGACTCAGCTGGCGTTAAAGTCGTAAATATCAACCAATTACATTGAAAGTGATGACTATTTACAAAACCCAGTGACCGTACGCATTCTTTAAATAACTAAAGAATGAAAAAGGCGAACAGATCGGTTTCAAGATGAAACTACTACACATATCTGCATCAAAACAGAGCCTGAGTTTTGATTTTGATTGATTGAGTTGAGAACATTCATTTCCGGGCGATGCCACGGTTCTGTCGAACAGTATATAAAGTAACATATATTGTATTTATAAGAAATCTACGAGAAAGGAGTTCGAGAGCTGATTTTCGGAAAGGTTTTTCCGAAATTCTTTGAGCAAAAGATAACACTTCAATTTTTTTCTCATCCCATAATCATGTTTAGCGGATCAAATTAACCACTAACTGGGAGTTTCGAACTCGTTTCGATACTTTTGAGTGATTAGTAAATTTTCTAACAGTAGGCTAAAACAGCTAAACAACTTTAGTTTTCAGGACGTTAGTACCAACTAGAATAGAATCGAAAGCTTTTATATATCACGAATGATAGTGGTGAGTTTGTATTTTATTTGATATGGAAAAGAATGACGTTTCTGTTGGCATGAAAGACACTGTTTAAATGCTAGATGAAAAAGCTAAAATCGGGATTGTAGCCCGCAAGTATTCGATTAAAATGAGATCTCTCCCAGCTTTACACGACCTTTCTGTGCAAAGTTTAAAAGGATTTACCAGAAAAGCTCT